TTGTACATCAGATCAACTGATGTAATACAGATATGTTTCTCCATGAAGTAGATAGTTGGGCAAGTTTTGGAATATCTGACCGCTTATTGCACAGATACCATGTTTATTAAATGGGGAGGAGGGAAGGGATGGGGCTTAGAAGAGATTCAGAAGAAAACATCCTTACTAATTGTTTCAAAGCTCCCTGCATGTTCTTGGCTCATGAGCCCACTGTATTCACTCAGCTGAGTGTGTCTAGAGCATGGTTACTAGCTGAGACATTTTATATGAGATAATGCACCATGTTCTACCACAATTGTACTACAAGGTAGCTAAAAAAAAAACCAAACCCCAAAAAAACATCCAGTGTCCACTAGAGTTACATCATGAGGAGGTCTGGAATACTCAAAGGAAGGAGACTTGAACACTGAGTGTAACTGAGTGCTGGTGAGAAAATCAAACACCAGCTTTTGTTGCTGAGCAGGTTTATGCTGTGACTGACTTCATCGCTGCCTGGTTTTTGAATGGGAAGGAGAAAGAAGAATTCACTTAAAGGCTGAGGAGGAAAAACAAGAAATTCCTGTAGAGGTGGAGGGCAGAGTACTTTCTAAACGTGTAACGGAGCAGACTTGAGTTATCTGGTAACTTCTCTTGAGTCACAAATCAAAGGAATATGTTAAGAGTAAAGTCCCAGGTGTCTGGTAACTTGACAACTCTCTTGTGTTGTAACCGCCAATGTCCTTGTGTGAAAGTGGCTTAATAACAGGAATTCATGCAATGGCATGCAGTAGCTCATGTAATTTTTAATTGTCAGCAGTTCATCCTATGTTACCTGTATACAGTTTTTTAAGAGCTCTTACTTCTGTTTTGTTCCTGCCCAAAGGCTTTTCAATTCTGAATGACAGTCTGGCCACCAGCAAATGAGTGCCTCACTAAATGCATGCTGCTCTCTTGCATCGGGTAGGTCAGAGAGGTTTGCTGCATGAAAACATTCCCGTGTGGAGCTTATATGTAAAGCAGAGCTCTCTGTGTAAACGAACTAACCTTGGTGCTCAGAATTTGCTTATACAAATGAGAAAATGGAAAAGCTGATATATCCCAAAGCCAGTAAATAAAATTCAACCATGTTAATGCAATAATAACTTTGCAGTATATGTTCTTAGAGTCATGGAATAGTGGACATTGCAAAATACAGTTGTTGAATTAATTTATTTTAATTTCCTTTATTGTAGGCTTTCCATATCATGTCTCTTTGAAAAATTACAACATTTCTAAGACCAAAATCCTGTTAACTAGAAATGAAAGTGAAGATTTAACAAGAGAATAAATGCCTTGTCTGCCTTGAACAAGATGCACAAAGGAAACAAATAGTACATTTAGGAAAAGTGAATGACTTTTAAATGGTTCCCAATGATCTGCTTAAGCATTTAAGGTGAGGAATTAAAATAAACCAAAGCCAAAAAACACCCAATAGTATTTGCTTCACAAATACATTAAGTTGAGCAAATATTAGGAGGATGACGTTCACAAAGAAGAAACTGCAGTTCAATTAGCTTGTGTCTGGGTTCTCTTTTAGTTTTCATTGTCTTCTTCTCCTTTACAGTATTCTCTGTAAACACAAATGACCAAGGACATATTCATAACATTACTAAGCTCTGGTAACTAGATCAGGCTATATTCTGTATCCATTCAAAATGAAACATATGAAAGAAAAGAAAATTAACTCTATCAAGTTGTTAGTGCTCTCAAGAATGTGAGTAGTAAGTATATCAGCGAGCAGCCACAGCAGGGAGGTGATGATCAATTCTCACACACACACAAACACACACACGCACACACACAATGCAGTGAGAAACAAGGTGCTGCTTGTAGCATAAAAAGTGGCAAAATGAGTAATACCAGATATATGCAATGATGTTCTCAGGATCAAGAGACACCAAGAGGAGAAGCTCTGTGGATGTTAGATGACTGTTCCTCCGAAGGCCTCTTTCAGCTGCAAAGATTCCTACAGATGTCAGTGAACTTAGTTAGAAGATATATAACATATTCTGAACTTCAAATACTGGAAGGAGAACTTCCTAAAGAGTATTTGTCAATGTTTTTTCTGTAAGTTAGAATAGGGAATATTGTTCATTGAATGTTTGAAGAAGCAGAAAATACAAGTTATTAGAAGAGCATTAGAAATGAAGTTAAGCTGCTATTGAAATGTCATTCCTACAGGTCAGTGTTCTATAATTGGAGTCTAGTTAATAATTCAGCTGATGCACAAACCAGAAAGAAATCAGTCTCACATTCCCATAGCTGTGTTGGCCCTACAGTGCTAGGGAAAATGAGACTTTTTTCTGGTTTCTGCATCAACAGAGTTTCTAGCTTGGTTCTGTGTGCAAAACAATTTTCTTGGAGTGACACGTCAACAGCAGCTTTAAGTTTGGATACAGGAAACCAAGTAAAAATAGTGCTATAATGGAGGCATGGTCTGGGATTTACGTCTGGAAGGAATTTTGGGTTCTCCCACAGACCTCCAGTGTGACTGCAGGTTGTTCTAGCAATCTTACCCTTTCAGATTTAAAAACAATCGGAAAAGGCAGCTGCTAATTCACCCCCTTCTCCTGACCATAACCGTGGGTGATGTCATTTGTGGCTCTTGAACAGCTCAATCATTGTTGGTTGGGTCTTTGTTGTGAGTGATGGTGGACTGTGGTCTTTGGAGGGTGGCTTGATAGCTGCATCTGTATGTGTGGGCTGTAGGGTTGTCTTTGTCAGAAATTCTGGTGTTTTCTGTGTTTCTGGTATTCTGCTGTGGGATGTGGTGTTGTGACATCTCATGGTGCTAGATGGGTCAGCTATGCCACGTTTTTACAGGGCTTGGGGGAATGTCTTGTCTCTAATGCCTAGGTACAGTGATGCCTGTAATCACAAGCCCTGACTCAGGCATTTCTGTGCTTTGCACAAATAAAACCAGTTTTTATTCTGAGGAATACAGAGGTTCCAATTATATGTAGTTACTTTTCTGCTTTTTAATAACTTAAAGATAGTGCTATCATATTCAAGTATCTGCTGCTTGTCTTAAAAGTGCCTCTTGAGGATTTGGAGCATCCCCTCTAGCCAACTCAAATTCAAACTTGTATTCTTGAAGTAAATACCATGTGGTTTGTCTGTATGCTGTTTAGCTGCCAACCATTCCAACTGCTTGTGCACGTGCAGTCACAAATTCCTACTTATCCCCAGGCTATACTTAGGCCATAAGCAGTATGAAAATTCCAGGACATCAAATCTCTTCCTTGGCTTGCTGATGAAGTGCTTTGTATGTTGTGACAAAACAGAAGCTGATATATAGATAAGTTGTTCTTTTTATGAAACTGCTATAGACAGCAGCATTAGTTTTGTAAAAATGTAGTTATATTCGTGGTCAGTGGAGAAGTCTCTAATTTAGCATCCCAGCTATTGGGAAGCTTTTTTATGTGTTGTACAAATGGCTACCTCACCTAAGTCCTGGGGCAACACTCTGATGTGCAAATTCAGTTGTGTCCATTTCATTACTGGTTGAATTATTAAGATAACGTCTTCCTTCTGGTTTCTCTTCGAAAGGTTTGGGGGGTAAAAACATCAGACTGGGTATGGAGAAGATACCTGACATGGCACGAAAAGCTCAGTCTATCTTAGAAATTTGGCTAGGATATAGGAAGCTGTTTACTAAAATGGGGGTGAAGAAGGTCAAAGATGACTCTTAACAGCAATGTAGAGCAGGGGTTAATTATAAAGTTAAGGCTCCAGCATTTGGTAGAATGACCAAGAACGATTAAAGAATTGTCGTCCTGTTTACATGCTTTTAGCACCTTTAAACTTTACTCTAAGTGCCTCTTTACTCCAAGTGGCTCTAATTTTCCCTTTATCTGATAAGAACCTTAGCTTTTTCCTTTTTTTCTGTTAATTTGTTGCTGTATCTTTAGTTTAGTATGACATCTTTCTTGACTTTCAGCTTTAGTGAGATTGTAGATTTTGGGAATGATCTCTTTGTGCTTGAACAAGCTTGTTTTTGGTAGACCTGGATTTGTTTGTGTAGACCTGCAGTAAATTAATTTATTTTGAATGTTTTCCATCAAATTACTGTATTTCATAAGATACACAAAATGTTTCTCATTTAATATTTCATACTTTCCTGAATGAGAACAGTAAGTTCTGTTTTGCATGTGCCAGTTAATACAGTTAGATGATAAGTGTTCATTAAAAATACAATTTAAAGTCTGTAAATACAAACCAGCAAGGTCAATGAACAGAAATGTTTCCGTAAAAGAGGAGAGTCTCTACAGTATGTGCACTTCTAAAATGCAGTAAAACAGAATTACTTTTTTTCCCCTGGTTTCTGTCAAATCTCTGACATTTTTTCTACCTTTTAATATACATTATTTTAAATTATTTTTTTTTTTTTACAAAACTATCTTGTCCAAGTGGGTGTCACAGAGCGGGTTGAAGATTTTCTGCTCATTGAGCTGGAGGATCACTTCTATAACTGTTTAGATGCAATATAAAGACTTTCTAGAAACCTTTTGGTGAGAATAGGCTCAGTGCTCAATTTTAGAGGAGATTAAAAGGGTATTTTTATATAAAGTAGTTCTGCTTTTGTGAAGAACCCATTTTGGATCATAACAGAATCATAGCTCTTCACCTCTTTTCTCACTAGCAGCTACAGGAACTATGTTGTTAAGAGATTCTTTTCTTTCTGCTGAGGAGAGTGCAATCAGCAATGATCAATGCATTAGTGTTCTTCAGCATGTTCTTGTATTTTTGGTAACAGGCTGTAAAAACCCTTTGACTAGCTTGAAATCCCCAAGTCTGTGAACCCTCTGGTTTTTATTGCCTTTTTTCTGTGCAGAACAACAAGGGAAGAAGTTGCTGAAATGCTAAATCACAGAATCATTTCAGGATTGAATGTTCTCTGAAAGTCATACTGTTCTCAGTTGTTATGTCCAAAGTCTGCAGCTGTAAGATCTTGGAAAAAGAAATCTTACTTTATTTTGCAGAGCATTGGCTGTGACGACTATCTGGGTTCAGACAAGGTGATTGACAAGTGTGGAATATGTGGAGGGGACAACACTGCTTGCAAGGTTGTGTCTGGAGTTTTCAAACACACGCTAACAAATCTTGGCTACCACAAGATAGTGGAAATTCCTGAAGGAGCTACTAAAATCAACATCACTGAGATGTCAAAGAGCAACAACTATTTGGGTAAGTTGCATCTCAGTGAATACAGCATTCTTTGTGTGCTATGCGACTGGGTGGAGGTCATGCCAGGAAGACGTTCTACACAGTGTGTAAGAGATGTCAAGAACAAGAGAGGAGAGGAAAGAAAGTAAATCAGGAAACAGGCATTTTGATCAGAATTGACTGACAGTTTAGAATTCTGGCTTGATCTTGCATTGCCAATATCATAGACCTGTTACCATCTATTTCCCTGTCCATCTAACTTTGATTTGGTGTTTCCTGTTAGTTGGTTCCACTCTGGTGATTACACTTCCCACATCATTAACCTTCTCTGAGCGGTCAAGAGTCCAGCCAAGTGGCATGCTTGTATGTAATATGTATCGAGGCTGCTTGAGGAGGAAAGAGCTTCTTCTGATTGCCTAAAAATTTCAGTTCTTTTAAAGTGTAAGGGTATCAACTGTATTGAGATAATGTGATATTGAGGTGGTATCCACAGAATGAAAGGTTATTTGTACAACTGTTTATTCTGAGGCAGGTACTTAATTCAAAACCATAGAGAATCCTGAAATATTTGTATTAACAGTGTGCTGCAAAGTAGAGATCATGTGGAATTTCCTCAGATCTTATGTCTGTTTTGAGTGCATTTGTGAACTATGCTATTCCCTGTTGTAACCTCTGATGTTCCTAGGCTACAAGGTCCTTAGTGTGCCTACATTTGTGCTTTCGTTTTGGAGCTAATTCTGCGGAATGGAATGGAGAGAGAAGAGTTGGTTACGATTTGTAAAACCTGCCCCTCACCCTTTCCTCTTTCCCTGTCAGTCCATCATTAGATCTCTCTTATAAATAAAAGGGCTCCATGAGGCCTCTCTTGCTACCTTGGTGTAATTATTGCTAGTACTGTGTAGCTGTACTGTTTTGAATCCCGATACTCTTGCTAGACAGCTGCTTTATGTCACTTCTGGCTGGTAAGCATCTCAGCTACTGCTCATGTATAAGGAAGGAAAGTGCTCATTATTGAATTGCTTCCCTTTTCTGCTTTCTTCTCCTTAATTCCTGCTAGAGCTGTAACTAGTTCTACCAAAACACTTATGATGGGAAACAGTCTGAACTGTAATGTGAGCTCCATAATTTTACCAAAAAAGTGACTCTTCAAACAGCCCAGGAAAAACAAATGTTCTGGACCTCTTGTGGGTGCTCTTACCAGTTCTAATTTGTTTTGGTTTCATCCAAATGTGGTTTTGATACACTAGGTACACCTGTGTACCCTAGCATTCATGTCTGCATGTGAACAGTTTGTATAGCATCCAACAATACTGAATTTTTGATGGTAAAATAGAACAGTAATTCTATCTAAAGAACTTTCACAGATGCTTGCACATACTATGGGAAACGGGTGAGAAGACAGTTTAGTTGGCAGGACAGTGAAAGTAGCCACCCTACTAATACATCGAATCATAGAGTTGAATGTAATTTTTCTGTCAGATTTACAGAAAAATTTTCCACCAGCATCTGAAAAGAGCTGCCAGAAAAATTTCCTTAACATGTTAAAATGTCCTGAACCACTTGAACAGTTTTGGAATGGGCAGGGCAGAAAAGGACACTTAAACATTTTTTGCTTAAAAATAACCAGGCTGTTGGCATGTATGGGAAAGTGGCAGCTTTTCTCTTTCCCATGCTACTACTTATCTCCTTATCCCCTGAGCTCTTGGTTTATGCTGTCATCTCTCTCTCTTTTTTTTTCTACCCATTTCATATGTTACATTTTTAAGCTGTTGGTATGGCTTTAGTCTGCTAAATTTGTCAGCTCCCTCCCCTGTTAGGAATTCTTGAGGTTGTAGTTCCAGTTAGAAGGGCTTCAGTCTCTATGCTTGCACTTGGTTTATTGAGGCAGGTGAGTTGCACCAGGGCAGGAATGAACATGTTCTAACAGATGAGAGAACTGGAACTAAAGAAAGGTTTATCAAGCACTTTACTGCACAAGAGAAATGGTAAGTGGGAGGTGGTTTTTTGGCATGTTGGTGCTCACAAATTTCTCACTGATAAAACAGCCCTCAGTATTCAGACATTCACAGTTTTATAGAGCACATAACAGTAGCAGAGCTGGGAAGCTTGAAAGCTCTGATCTGGTATTTATTTACTGTTTTCCCTATAGTTTTGGTAATAAGCAGAAAGAAGTCTTGAACTTTAAAAATGATTTAAAAATCCCTTCAACTCATTCTTATGCTGCAGCTGCAGCAGCAACAACAACAACAACGAACCCAACCCAGCAGCCATTCCTTTAATCATGTAATTGAGTGCTTTGCAAAACTGAAGTTTCAGGTCCCTGTTCTGTCGTAGTCCAGCTGTAGCCATCAGAGCTGCTTGTGAGCAACATTCTTGGTGCAAGGAATGTAAGCCAGTTGCTTTTGCATTTCCTGACATTTTGCACATCTTATGGTTTCTTCAGTGCAAAATTGTAAGTCAGCTTGAGGTCACTAAAGATTTTTTGGAAGATGAGAACAGATGTTTCTGGGCATCTGAGTTATCCTGCCTGTCTCTGTTCAGGAGACTGTCTTGAGTTCCATGTAGCTTCACTAAACAATTTTTACCAAGCTCCACACCTTTTCCCTGCTTTGTCAAAAGTACCAGGCGAGAGAGCAATCAGGAAGGTGTGTTTTCACAAGGAGATATTCCTGTAAAATCAAGAGGTGTTGGAAAAAGCAGGCAAGAATGTGAGGTTTCTTGCCCAGAGTTTCAAACTCAGATCAAGTCATCCAAACATTCGAATGCTTCTCCATACTGCTTTTGTAAACTTATTTGTAGTAATCAATTGCTCATTGTTGCAAAGCTTATGACCCTCGTAAGAAGCGTATTTCTAATTATGATGCTTAATCTCATAGTAGCTTATTAAGGTTTACTAATTCTAAGTACTGCCATTTTGTTCTTTGCACACAAGTTTGAGTGCAGAATAAAATATATAAGCTCTTGCTACTTCTGAACTTCTGTTAAAAGAAAAAACATGGCAGTGGCAAATGAAGCTTTTAGTGTTTCTGGAACATGTCATTATCTGGGTAGTCAGAGTATTCAGATCAGGCTGTTTCAGTGTTGGTTCAACCAGTTGTTCATGTAACTTTATAATTAACTTTTCACAAAGCCTACAAAACCACAAATTTCTTGTGCATTTTATTTCTGTATACCTTAATAACCTTCAGCAATGTTGTTTCTGGTTTCTTCTGCTTATGTTTTCCTTTTTTTTTAGGTGTTCTCCTATTTTTGAATGAATGAATTTCGTATGGCACAAATACAGTCTTCTCTTTTTCCCTGCCTTTCCCCCTGCCCATGTGCATGTTTTCCATTTAGGTTTCCATTTCGGGAAGACCTTTACTGTAGGAAGAGTGTCGATCTGATAAAGAAAAATAGTCAGATTGAGAATGGCCTGTAACATTAACTGGTGTTTCTTAGTGAGCCAAGCTGAACTACCTCTAATGGAGCCATAAGGCAGATCAGAAATTCCCCAGGAAACATCTTGTATTTTTTCTTCTGTGTGTCTGGAAAGCAAGCAGTCCAGGTTTAGACTGCTAAATAATAGCTATTAACTATTAATAATGTGTTGGTCTGTATATTTAGTATATATTTTTACAGTAAGAAGCAAAAGCTACGTATTACAATTCAGATTTAGACTCCATAAAATGTAATCAAGGCTATAAGCTGGACAGTCCTGAGCTGTTTATGGAATGATTTCTCCAAGTAGTTTTCAGCAATATTTTCTTACTGGCTGATGTGTTAGACCTTTCGGCAACAGAACTGCTGACCTTGGACAGACTTTTCCATTGGCAAAGCACTTCTGTCACATGCTTTTGTACAGAAAAGAGACAAAGACGTACTTTTTATCCCACCGGTAATCATCAGCTGGCCAGTTCTCAGACACTGAAATGGGAAGCTTGCCACTGAATTAAGTAGGACCATAATATCTTAAGTGGGACCAGTATGTTACAGCACTTATGCTGCAAAACATGTGGTTTTGAGTATAAATACTTCAGCATCTTTGGGATTGGGATTTGGAATAATGACAAAATTTTGAAGCCAAATGACTTAAATCTGAAGTGATTATTTGGAAGGTGCTTTTTTGCATGTTGGATCTTGAGAACCTAATTCAAAGAACCTGGTTGTTATCCATATTCATAGCCTAAAAAGCAAGATAACCTGATGGGAAGGAGGTACCAATAGTAAAAGTTAAAATTTACCTTAATACGAGAGTGAAAGATACAATGGTTGAAAATGTATTAGTTTTGAAATACACTTACCATGTGTAATGAGCTTGCTCTAATTGGAAAGAATCTGGAGATGTCTTGTAACTCAAGCAACAGTTTGTTTCTAGATCAATTGTCTGAACCTGGAGTCATAACATTCTCCAAATGGTACCAGACATACTGCCTGCCGTCACTGGCAGTGGAGGTTTATGAGATATTGTATGAGACAGAAGTATATACATTAGAATTTTAGCAAGTCCCTTAACATTTTGTGCCTTACCTCAATACTGTTTATTACAAATAGTATACAGGTACTGTCTGCCATACAAAGATGTTTCACAGTGAAGTTTATTTCATTGCTAATTGTAAAGGTTTTTTACAGTTCCTTCAGGGAATATGTTGTCTGTTTCAGTTCTGTTTTTCATGGAATTAAGTTATTTCAGCCTAAACGAGATAGGAAGATCTTTGGTGCTAATCACTTTTCCCTGCTTTCTGTAAAATGATACTCTGCTATTCTAGTGTCTTCTACTAGCACAAACCAGAATTTTTGATTAAAATAATCACAGTATTTGTGATTAAAATAAGAGTTACACTTTAATATTTAAAAAACAAAACAAAACAAAAAAACAACCGAAGTCCAAAAGATGTTAATAGCATTCTTGTGAATATTGGTCTGCCTGGACATGAATATGGATTTAAGGAATTTGTAATATGAAAACAACAGTGACTGATGCTAAAAGGGCTGTGAAAAGGTTATCTGAAAAACATTTTGGTTCAGTACTCCCTGCAGCAGAT